GGCCCTGAGGGCCTCGTCGAGCCTGCCTTCACTTAGGGCGGCCGACGGGCTGTGATAGTGGGGCCTTATGGGGCTCTAGAGGCATTGGCCTCGCATTCCCTCCTCCATAGCTTCAACAGTCCTCTGAGAAGCTCAATCTTCGATCATAGGGCGCTTTCCCTTCTGCAGAGATCTCTCGTATTGAGTTACAACTTGAGGAGCGGTCTGCATGAGCTCTTCCCTTGTGAACCAGCGGTCCTCCTTCGGATCAGTGTGATGCCGGAACCGAACGCAGTACTGCAGCTTCGGTTTTCGAGGACGTCCCCTGCCTGCTGGTCTTGATACCGGCAGATCTCTGTGATCCACGATATCATCAATGTCCACCTCTCCGTCCATGGTTGGGGGCAGCATTGAGCGACGAGATGGAAACTGGTCAGTCTCTTTGAAAGGTGCCATCTTGGAGGCGTGAAAGACAGGGTAAGTACGAAGATGACCAGGAATACGGACAACATATGATGGCCCATCCGGATCTGTTCCGGCGATGTCCAAGACTTCCCAAGGTCCAAAGTACTGAGGCATGAGTTTGCGGGATATCCCGTACTCCTGTCCCAGTTCTGAAGACTTAACCCAGACTCTGTCCCCAACCTGAAATGTAGAAGGCCGGCGGTGTCTGTTTTCAGACTCTATCATCGCTGCTTGTGCCTTCTGCATCTGTTCTACCGCCTGCTGCATTTTCTGTTCATATCTGTGAGCAAACTCTAACGTACCCGGTGCAACAGTTGGTTCATGCTCAGGTAGGAGAAAATCAAGAGGTAGTCTCGGTTTGAAAGTTAGTTGTAAACTGTTCGGGCTCACCCCAGTGGCTCTGTGTACCGCATTGTTATACAGACTGGCGACGAGAGCAAGCTTCTCATCCCAATCCACCTGGTTGGGCTTGATATAGTGCCTCAACAGGTGTTGTACAGCGCGGTTCAGTTGTTCAGCCTGGCCGTTAGCTTCTGGGTGATTCCCAGAAGTCATTTGCAACTGAGTGCCCTGCTCTGCAGCAGCGGCCTTCCACAACTCGCTTGTAAATCTGACATCCCTGTCACTAACAATGAACTTCGGTAGACCAAAGTCCCTGACCCAGTTCTCTTTAAACATTCTAATCACGTACTCCGTCTTTGCTGTTTCCGGCATAGCTACTAACCTAGCATACTTACTAAATCTATCCACGATGACAAAGATGTGACGCATTTCATTCTTGCTGGTGATCAGAGTATCCATGAAATCCATGGACAGACTCTCACCAGGCCGTTTCGGAATTGGAAGGGGCTTCAGAAGCCCAAGAGGAGCCTGAGTACGTGGTTTGTCCCTTTGACAAACTTGACAAGTCTCCACGTACAGCTGTGCATCTCGCATCATCGTGGGCCACCAGAATCGCTGCAGCAAGTTGGCTGCGGTCTTCTTATACCCAAAATGACCGGTGGCATCATGACACTCACCTAGAAACAAACTACGCAAAGATTCACTATTGGGAACACACAATCGTTTATTCCCTGCCTTCTCAAGGAACAGCAAGCCATTAACCAACTCAAACTCGGCGGATGTCTTCTTGTCCTTCGCCTCAAGTCTGCGTATGATCTCAGACATAAACTGGTCCTCGCGATAGGCTTCCACCAAAGATTGAGTAACATTGTCCGTAAGACTGAACTCAGTAATCAGTGCACCTGAGAAGTCTGGTATGCACGACAGGGCGTCAGCAACCTTGTTATACTCCCCTTTGAGATGCTGAGGGTCAAAGTCATATTGCTTAATGACTTCGATCCAACGCTTGAGAGCGTCAGAGAGTACCAGCTGGGTTCTCATCCATTTCAGGGTCTGATGATCAGTCCTGAGGATGAAGAACCTCCCAAGGAGATAGTGTCTCCAATGGGTAAGAGCCTTGTACACCGCATAGAGTTCCTTCTCATAAGTGGACTTAGCCAACTTCTGAGACGGCATTTTCTTAGACATGTACTCAACTGGCCTCAACTTTGGTTTAGCCAACTTTTGAGACGGCATTTTCTTAGACATGTACTTAACTGGCCTCAACTTTGGCCCCTCCTGCTGCGCGAGCACGGTGCCAATGCCGTATTGGCTGGCATCCGTAGTGACTATGAACGGCTTGTCAGGATCAGGAAGTTTTAAGACTTCATAGTGAGTTAATGCATGCTTCAGATGTCTGAAAGCAGCCTCGCACTTATCTGTCCACTCCCATGGGGTGTCAAGGCAGGTCAGATCAGTCAAAGGAGCGGCCACTATGCTATAGTTCTTCACGAAAGTTCTATAGTAGCCTGTCATTCCTAAGAAAGATCTCATCTCAGTCACAGACTGAGGACGTGGCCAATCACGAATGCT